TCCCTTGCTTTGCCTTTCATTTGCAAATGCTCTGGGCTCTAAAAACTGACTGACTCAGTATCAAATTACAGCTGAAGTTGTAGACACATAATTAAATCAACACATAATGCAACTCACATGTTACTGAGGGGACCCTTGATTTTTGGACTGAGCATGAGATTTAAAGCCAAAACTCACAACTGATCTCAGTTGGACTTTTGCTTTGTCTATTATTGTCTTTGTCTTGTATTTCACAAGGCAATTATAAGATTTACTCTGCTAATGTCAGTTATGTGCTTTGAAGACATAAAGTACTAAGTATTATTATTTATTCAGTAGTCTTGTTTTCTATGTTGCATTTGAGCAGAGCACGCCTTGCTTTTCAGTCAATTCTGCTGGTTTAGTTTGGTTCCCGTGGTCTCTCATTTTTCATGAAACAGTCACTTGGCAGAAGTTTTGGTTCCTAGTGGTCCATATCCAGCACAGGAGGTGAGCCCTTGCACTCAGATGCCTGCTAGCACGTTTACAGCCACACCACATAACCCTGCTCTGAACAAATCTGTGCAAGAAAGTACTCAGAACAACAGCAGATATTGGCATGCTAGAGTTTGTCCTCCCTAATATTAACCCCAGGATAAAAATCTTATTTGGAGCTGAGGTAAAAGCTTTGTGTAGCCAGGCATTATTTTGTGATGTTCCAAACCATCTCTCTCTCCTGTGAACTGCAGCACAAAGCTTTTCCTCACTGTTTGGCTGTGGTATTTCTGTTCACTTTGGAAAGAACAGCATCAAAGGATCTAAAGCCATTTCTGCTCACATATTCAATGTGTTTTAACTTTCCCCTTCTAGACATTAGAGACCTTATTGCTTCAGCCACCTTCTACTACTTCTTGCAGGATATTTTGGTCTAGGGACTTTAGAAGTTGTTTTGTTTTAGCACTAACTCATTCCCTTCATAAATTCAATGTTTAGATTAGTCAGTATCTCCACATACCCTTTATTTGACTAATTGTTTAATAATCTATGAAAAAAATTGTTTCAAACCCACACATCAGTAGAGCTGCAGAAGAACATTTATCACTCTTCCCTGTTCTTTACACAGGTCCTTGTTTAGATATATATAAAGAAAACAAGTGTCTTTCATATGTCACTGCTGTGCTCCTGCAGCTTCCCAAAGTGTGGCATAAAAGGAGCAGTTTTCACAGTCAAAATGACACAGATCAAGTTTTCACTTTCAAAGTACCTTTGTTAATCACTTCCTCCACCTCTTTCCTAGCCTGCATATTTAATTATGAATTGTTACACAGCACAGTAAAGACTTGGAATTAGGTAATACGGTCTTCCAGAATAAAATTCTTATATATGAGTGGAATATGCAATTAAGTCATCAACAGCTTTACTGAAGCGTTTCTTTCAACTTTGAACTGCATTCCTTTCCCACTGCAAGTTCATCTTTCCCTTCCTTGTCTGCCTTCCTTGCCTGTTTCTGATGTTTGCGTCAAGAAAGAGAAGTTTAAAAATGACCCACCTCTCATAATATGTACAAGAACGCTTTCTTGAATGTTCTCAAGAAGAAACTGAGAAATTTCTTCTTGAAAATTCTCATTGAAGAAATATGTAATAGTTACAACTAGCATGGGGGAGTCAGGCACCCCTCTGTGTTCCTTAGGACTGTTTATTCCAAGAGACTACTTAGGCACAGCCATGGGTGTCTCCTGTAGGAATGGACATGATTTACACAAGGATACACCAGACACTGAACACCACTAATTCCTTTACTCTCTGTCCCCAAAGCAGAGTCAAAAATGCAGTCAGTTTTCTCGAGAAGTTCATGCACTCAGATCACCACCAGGACTTGAAGAAGCACAAAAATGGCAGTGGAGGCAATAAATCAAAAATTCCCTGGGTCTAGGAATCACATTTTAGGTTTGTAGTCACTGTCCTATTTTCTGAAAAATCCCTTTGCCAGGATTTCTCCTCCTGGGAAGCTGAGAAGCCTCAGAGAAAAATGTAAATAATAATTATCTGATTTGCTTCTCCCTGTGTTTGGCTGCTTTGGAATGTGGTCAGGAGGTTGTTTACCCACAGGTGCATGTTTGATTGGTTCCATGTGAATTGTTTTAACTTAATGGTCAATCACAGCCAGCTCTGTCAAGGCTCTGAGGAGCTCTCATTATCATTCTTGTTAAGCCTTCTGTCTGTATCAGTTCTATATAGTTTAGTATAGTTTTATATAATATAATATAATATAATATAATATAATATAATATAATATAATATAATATAATATAATATAATATAATATAATATAATAATAAATCAGCCTTCTGAGAACAGGGAGTCAGATTAATCTCTTCCCTTGTCCTGGGACCCTCACAAAGACCACAGATTGTCTCAGGCTGCTTTCCAAAATCCAGGTGCTCCTTTGGCAGTGGGACAGAGGCACTGCTGTGCAAAGCTCCTGCCGTCCTGCCCTCCTCAGCACTGCACAGGTTATTCCTGCCAGGTGAGTCACTGTCCTCAGAGGCATGTCAGCCTCCTTCACTCAGAAACAGCTTCTTAAATATTCCAGAAGAATTTATGGCGTGTCAGTCAAGTTGGTAAAATCATGGTTAAAGGAATTCAAGACACCTGTGGATCTGCACCCATTCTGCTGTCTTTCCCCTCATGGACTTTACTAGAGAAGAAAAAAATAGCCATGGAGAATTATTTCAGAGGCAACAGGAGCCACCAGTTCACACAGAGGAAAATTCTTTATAATATATTAGTTTATATAATATATTAAAAAATAGTTTTTAAAAAATAAACTAGTATATTATATATATAATTTATTAATTTATTTTTTTATTTTTATTTTTATATATAATTTAATAATATTACATTAGTTATATATATAATGTATAGTCATATTATACATTATTATATTATATACTCTTATATATTATATATATTATATAATATATAATTCTATATAGTATACATAATATATTTAATAATATATAATATATACTATATGTAGTCCATAATATATTACGGACTATATTTTATATTATATATTTTATATATTATTATATAAATTGTATTATATTTTATATATTATACCCTTGGTGGCATTGTGCTTCAAGACCTTCAGGTGAACATGTGCATGCTCAGAAAGGCACTGCAAACATCTGTAATCCCAGGATTTTTTGCTCCCCACTATCCACATCATAGACAGTGAAGCAAGATCAGTTTGAGGACTGCACATCCCCAATTGCACTGATGCAACTGCATGCAAAGCAAGGCTGTGAACCAGATTACTGAGGCTCTGACCATTTAAAAAAACCCTAAAACATTGCCAACCAATCAAAAACCCCACAGCTAACTAGCTAACCCTTTTCTGGAATAATTTTCAACTGTAATTATTTGACAACTCAGCACGTAATGACACATGAGAAGCACTTCTAACAGCACAACTGAAGGAACTGTATTTTGCTGTAAAAAACAGGAGGAACTGGTCAGAGGCAGCAAAAACTTCTAAAGCCACTTTTTCAGCTGAATCCACTCTACTGTGGATTCACTTTCTCCCCAAAATGATACAAATATACAAATAAAACAAAATTCAACTGGAATTTGAGGGTCTCAGCAGTTCTGACAAGTTGGAGTCTGAAAGCCTGGCCCTCAATGGATGTATGTAGAGTGCAGATAAATTCTTATTTTTATGCCTACCCACAAAGAAAAAGCAAAAGACTGAAATAAGGAAATTACTGGATGTATTCAGATGGATAAGTATCTTGTAAAATGAATAACTAGGCAAGGAAAATCATTAACAATAGAGCCATCTGCTGTATTTCAAAAAAACTACACCAGCAAAATTCTGAAAATGGTAAAATGCTTTACAAGCTGAATTTCTCACTACTCAGTGGTACAAAAAGTGATCACAATGATTAGTGAACCAGTTTAAATAAGAGGAAACATGTATTTCTTACACCTCTTCTAATTAAAAGCAATATTTAGTGGCATAATACTGATCCTCTGTGTCTAATGATGCTAATTGACATTGTGGCTGGGCTTGTTAGAAGCCTGGAATGCTCTCCATTCCACTTGAATCAGAGAAGCACAGAACTGTGTATGGTAACAGTGAGGTCAGCAGCAAGCTGAATATTTATTTAAATACTGACAAGACACTTGATTATGTTTTTCTTGTTTAATGTAAGAATTTCAAGTCTGAAGAAAAAAAAATTAGGAAAAAAAACCACAAAGAATGAGGGTATCTTTAGAAGACAGACTAACCCAAGTGGTTCTCAGTATATCTTTACACTTCTAGAAATAAACTTGAGGAGCCCACTTCCAAGCATGGTGGGAAAAGCAAGTGCCTGGGAGATAATTCCCAATTTTGTATCGCCAACATAGCACTAAAACACAGAACTATAATCCTGGCTGAGATAGGAAAAGTTCTACCAAAGCTGCAGAGAGAGAATGTCCTGCTGAAAATTTGGGATCAAATGTGTGCTAAGCTAAGCAAAAATGTAACAGCTACAAGGGATGCACAGCCCCTGGAACCCTGTCCTGCTCTGGAAGGTTGGCTCCTGAGCTGCCCTCTCAGAGGTGGTTAGAAGTGATCACAAACCAAAACTGAGGGCTTTTGGCATGAATCTTCACTGGGAAGTTCCCCTTGCATTTAAAACAAGCTTGTGAGCCACCTACCCCCATCCTATCTGTAGGTCACCACAGCTGCCTCCAGAAGTGTGTCTGCCCCAAATGCCTTTATTAAATATTCTGACCAGATCAGATGTTTTACAACAAATTTCACTTGTTCCTACAACCCTTCAGCAGTTTCTCACTTAACATTTCATGCAGTTTTTTGATAGGTTGCACAAAACAAGTGACATTTCATTACTCCACCTGCAGCTTCAGTAATTGCTACACAATTTTTTTTCTACCATCGACAAAACCAAACTTCCACGACCAGAATTTTTTAAGCCTCATAAATAATATAGCAAAGACATTCTCAGCTTAAAAGGAGAACCAAGGGTATTTACCTGCCATCATAGCTATCATACTGGCTTTGTAGACATTGGCAAGGGAGCCCAGTTCACCTGTAGCCAAGATTGTTTTCATGTGAGCTTCTCCACAGGCCGCACGGCACAGACGGATCTCCTCGTACAGACCTGGGGATAAAAGCATGTGGAAATGATCAAAGTTGCCTGAGAGGTATTTTCAAGTATGGCTGTAATTTCCACTTCTGGATTAATTTCCAATCTTATAATTAGTTGTAGCACTCAGGAACTTAAGTTTTGTAAGTTCAATAAATTACATGACTGGAGGTAATTAACAACGCCGTGCAGTTTCAGACTTTACTTAATAGCTATTAATGTCTGCTCTCTCAAAATACAAATGTACGAAATACCCATGAATACATCAGCAGTAAAAAATGCTATGCTAGTAAAGATTGATCTTAAACCAGCTTTCCCAGCAATAAATATGGCAGTACATTGAATCAGTACTCAGAGATAGCTATGTTTTCCTCTGCATCTGGCCAGTGAAACCTTCCCTTTTACCCTTCCTGGTAAAATTCAGCAGTGCTCCCACAAAAGTTTACACAGAGGGAGAATAAAAGAGCCAGAAACTAATGAAGCATTACTGTCAGAAGTTGGCTGCTTGGGGATGTCAAAATTGCTCCTGGTTTGGGAGAAAAGCAGTTCTTACAGTGCACAGACACCATTTCTAGATTTTGAATTAAAAAAAAAATAAGATGCAAAATAAACAAACAGGATGCTTTGCGAGAGGGTCCTTTTCACAAACTGTACTCAATCTTCAAACACATAATCACAAGGTTCTTTGACAGAAGGCTAAAATACAGCTTTAAACAGGTCTTGCTAAAACAGTCCAGGCTAGAAAGACTTTTTCTTTTTTCAGCAATATTAGACTTCTTTTTCCCTCAGCCCTTAAGTGAAGCCTGGAAGCGTGGGGCAGGGTTTGGCAGCTGTGGCAGGGCCCTCATCCCACGGATGCCATGGGCACCCCAGGGTGTCCAGGGCTGGAATTGCTGGGCTGGCCTTCTGAGACACGCTGCACACATTAGCAGACAACTGGCTGATGCACTTAGCAAGTCCCTTTATAGACACCAGGCTTCACCTTGTTTCTCACTGTGTACCAAAGGTGTGAATTAATCAGAACTAGCATGCAGTCTAACATGTTTTATTGATCAATTGGTGATGCTCCAGAAACCTACATCAAATCGAGGCTCAAAAAGGAAACACAAAGGACCTGTGCTTTTTTTTCTTTTTTTTTTTTGGTGCATTTAATAACCCTGCTCATGTTAGATCCAAATGAAATCTCTTTTTGTGGAGCAACTCTTTCCTGAAGCTTTTGAAAACCCAGAGAAAGCAGCTTTCTTCTTCTTCTAGTTTCGGTAACAAGAGGAAAAAGTTTTCCCTACCTTTGAGATACGCCACAAAAAATGTCAAAACAAAATCAACAAAATGTACATTTAGGTTGGATTCCATGAAAAGAAATTCCATGCTCACAGCTGTTGTTCCCTGGCACTGCAGCTCCAGCACCCTCCCTTGCAGTTGGAAGGTGCTTTTACATGCAATTAGCGTCAGGCTCGCTGCCTGCCAGCACACATCATCCCACGGCCAGGAGCGACTCAGGATCCTCAATCACCCGTGTCTGGCAGCTCAGCTGGGTGCAGGAAAAGTGGGCACACCTCAGTGGGGCAGGGGTGTAGGTAAGAAATGCTGTTCTTTATTCAGAGACCAATTATTGCAGACAGCAGCTGACGTTCGCATGGCGTTTTCAACCCCACAGTAAAAGTACAGAGAGAAATGCAATTACATTTGGGACAGAGAACCCCAGTCCCAGTGCAAGCTGGAACTGCTTTGATGCAGAACAAGTGTGAAATCTCCTATTCCTTTCAAAAATAAAAGGAGAAGTTTCAGTATTCAGATTTAAATCAAGGCACAAATAAAGGGATTATCCTGAAAATCTTGGGCAAATGTCTAAAGTATGGGTGCAGTCAGACACACTTCAAAATGTACTCAGGGTTTCAAGGAGTGCTGGGCTCCCTGTGGGACAGTCTGTGCTGCCAGAAAGTCCAGCACTTAATGACTCAGTTCCATCAAGATGAACAGCAGCAGGACCAAAGCTGGGTGCTACAAATGCAGGAATATCTGTGAGCTGTGAAGAACGCCAGCAACAGCCACAGCACACACAGCATCTCAGTGGCACAAAGATTTTGGTCAGAAAACTCTGTCACAGGAAACCCTGCAGGCATATTTTCAACTAATGAGCCAAGAACACCATGAAGAGGCTGGAAGAAACCTTTTTGACTCCTACTAAAACAAGGAAAAAGCTCTCAAAGCAAATGGCCAGCACCCTCCAGCATATTAAACAAAGCACCAATATAATCCATTCTAAAAGCAGTCTGAAACTTAAGCCAGGAAAAAAAAGGCAAAAAAGCCTCTAAAACCTAAACCAATAAACCCACAAAAAACCCCAAAGCAAGTCAACCTATATTATATAGCAAGTCAACCAGGTATATTATATAATATACCTGGAGCCAGTTGCTCACAAATACTGTGTGCAGTAGCTCTCCTGACCCAGGATGTGACATAAAAATTCTTCCACTTTGCACCACTTGAGCTACCTGACAGTTTTCATGAACTTTAGATCTGCTTTTACTAGATGCATTTACAGAAGTCAGAAAAAAAAATCCCATTTTGTAGGGAAAAAAAATGCTTTCATAGCTGTGGTTTTAATTCCACTGTTATAAAACATAAGAGTTGTAAGTTTCCTTGTCATTTTCCTAACACTGTATTTAGTGCATTATATTGAATTTTAGCAGCTATTAAATACAGCAGAGAAAATGTTCTTTCCTTACATTACATTCCTACCTTTCCCAAACAAACATCCCTGATAATTTCTGCAGGCTGTAATCTGCACTAGACTGTGTGGATGGTCTGTTACTTTGGTGTAATACATTAGTCCTAAAAATCACCAAATAAAGGGGACAATCCAGATCTCTTACAAAGGAAATAAAAATATTAAAGGAGGAAAAAAACCACACTGCTTAATTGTTTTTTATGGAATAGTTCTCTTCAAAAATGTAGCGATAAAAAAAAATTTCTTTTAAAAAATTCAATTTTTTGGTGTTTTTATCAAGTCAGGAACAATGAATAGAAATTGAGATGAGAAGATGTTTCGATTTCTGTTAGCCCAAAAGATCAAGGCTGGAAACTGGAAAATGAGCTGGAGCCCCTTGTGTCTGGCATGTTAATGGCAGGTTTATTGACAAAATGACAAGCAGGAGGCTATCAGCACAACACAGTTCCCTCACACAGGTGCAGCTCCAGGGATTCACATTCTGGAACCAGAGCTGGGCTTCAGGAGCCCGAGCTGCTGCTGCCAACACCAGACAGAAATGGTGCAGTCTGCACATCTAGGAATGATAAATCCAGCCACAACCTTCCTGAGCAACGTCAGGAGCCCGAGCTGCTGCTGCCAACACCAGACAGAACATCTGCACATCTAGGAATGGTAAATCCAGCCACAACCTTCCTGAGCAACATGGGGAGGCTTCTCCAGGGCTCTGGAGCAGGGAGTGTGTTTGGTCTGTGCTGTTTATGAAAATAAGGTCCCAATCCCTGATCAGAGCCTCTAAACCCACACCTAAATAATCAGCAGCAGTGAAAAGCACTTTTCATAATGAAGTTACATCATGGATGCAGCCATGCTCAAATTTTTCAGAGTATAACTGGGGTTTTTTTCTCTTTTCTTACAGGAAAATTCACCTGCCACAGAGCAGATGATGGGTTAACAATGCTCCTGCAGCCACTGGCAGTGTGGCATGTCCAGTGTTTGCTAGCAGATGGAATTAGCACTGACATTGCTGCACCCCACACAACTTCAGGAGGTGCAGCAAATGCTGATGACAAGGGGAAAAAATGAATAATAAATAGATCCAGTCTATTTAAAAAATTTGTTGGTCAACTTGATCATTCCTTACATAAAGGCTCCACATTCTGTGTCTAAAAAAAGTATCCAAATTGATAATTTATGTTTAATCCATACTTTACCAAGTAATACAAGACAATAGCTGAGTAAACTACTTGAAAGTAGTATTGCTTTAAAAGCTAAAAGGATATAAAAGGTATGCAAATGCATAAACTTATATCTCATTTCATGTTATTTTCTGATGTAATTTAGCTGTCCAATAAAGCTGCTTTCATACTCAGCATTATTTAAAAGATCTTAACAATTACTTCACAAAGATCTGGAAAATGCATTCTGAGTGTCATAAAGAGCTCCAGCAATATTCAAGAACTTCTTTAAAATAACTTGACATAATTGGACACACACTAAAATATTTAATAACCAAACAAGCCTTTGAAGCAAATCACAAAGCAACACTATTCTATTGTGGTGACCCCAATTATTGTACAGGCAAGAAGAAAAGCTAAAAATGAACTAAAAAGCACTCCACCACATAATTTTTTTTTAATATCTTCTGAAGTTGTGAAGACTGTCAGCATAAGAAAATACCTATAGAAGCGGGTTATTATTATTATTATTGTTGTTGTTGTTGTTATTGTTGTTGTTGTTGTTTTGTTATTGTTATTTTATTATTATTATAATGACTACTACAATTAGCATAAGTTATAATAGAACTACAAGGCAGCTTTAGTTGATGAAGCACTTTAAACACAGGCACAGGTACTGCACTATTTAATTTTATGTAATATAGGGATTTAGCCTAAAAAATCCTTCTTTGTCCCTTTTTCTAGATTCTTTCTAAGTATTTTATAGATTATTCTGTATTATTCCTAATCACACAGGTAACATATCTATTGAAAGCTAAACAGGAAGACAGAACAATACATTTTCACCAAAATATCTGGATCACCTAATGAAATACCTTTCTTCTTATATGGGGAAGTTAAATACTGTAATTTCTCACCTTGTGGCATCCCTATGGCAAGTAAATTCTGTTTCTGAAGTAGTTTTTTTTCAAGATCATGTAAACACATGTCATAAACAGATTCAGATTCATAAATAAAGTTAGGAAATAATTTGGAAATAATTTAAATTCTGCCATTGGTGCAAAAAAATAATATTTTATCTATTTATATACATAAATAAAAATAGAAATAATATGTAAATATATAAATATATTATGTAACATATTTTCTATTATATATCTATATAATAATTCCATATTATATATGAAATATACAATAATGTATATTTTATAGATTTATATATATATTGTAAATATATAAATATATTATGTAACATATTTTCTATTATATATCTATATAATAATTCCATATTATATATGGAATATACAATAATGTATATATATATTGATATATGTAAAATATATGTATAAAATAAGGATGGCTTTCAACCTTGTCAAGACTTCAGCTCTGGATAAAAGAATATGCACACCAAATTAAAAGCCATCCCTAATTTACTTATTTAGTAAAGTGACAGCTTTATATCACATCCATCTTTTGCAGTGTCTGTGTACTCCTCCCTTGTAATTTGTGACCACAAAGAGTAATTCATCTCCCATTCATTTCAGTCATGATCCAAACTCTCTCTCTGAATCCAAGCCCTGTATTTTTCCTCTGAGTTCTCCTTCATATTAAAAAAAAAAAAATTCTTAAATAACTAAGACCAAAAGTATGGAGATTGCAAACACTACAAAAGAGGCCAAGATATTACAGCAAGGAAACCAGTCCTGAAGACACAGATGCAGAAATATGTGGGGGTTTGGTTCAATTCTAACTGTTAATTGAAAGAAGACCAGAAAACATGATCTATTACCATGATTTCTGTTATTTCCTTAAATAAAGTCAGGTGCCAGGGCTTTATTATAAACAGGATATTATGGCACTGCATTATACAGCTAAATGGAAAATTCATTCCAAGACAATGATGTGTCTACCTTCACATGGAGATTAGTTATAGGAGCACTGTCAGCACTTAAGGCAAACCATTCACAGTACATTAAGGATGCAATTAGAGCAAAAACCATCTTCAGCATTATTGTTCCTACTAATTAGTAGTAGTCTACAGACGCCAGAACATCAATAATAATACGAACAGTCAATTTGTTCCCTCAACTTTCAGCAAAAAGAAAACAACTAAAATACGTGTTTTCATCAAGAAATGAAACATGTATATTTTAAAAGGTATCATCTACATTAGCAGCCCCTTGGGCTTTCTAACAAAACTCTTCAAATAATTAGGTTTTTACTTGCTATTTTTTTTTTAATGCTGTACACAAAGTCCTCTAAAGGCATGGAGGGAATAGACCTGAATTTTGAAACCACAAAGTCATTCTGCCTGCCCAGCCTGACACAACTTCCAACAGGATTTCTCTCAAAAAATGCAACCCTTTCTTATAAATTGATTAAATAGATTTTATTTAGCTCAGAGACCCAGATTACTCTGAGGGGAATGACCAAATTCTTCAAGGATTGATGCAGAGATGTGGGGAAGAGTCAAAGACAGACCCTACATGTGCATACAGCAAGGTTTAGGTTCTTTGCCAAAGGAACTTTTTTACTTACCTTCCCACTGGCCAGTCAGCACCAGGCTCCTGCTAATGACAATGTCAATCTCCCGGGCCCCATATTCCACTGCCAGCTTTATCTCAGCCAGTTTGGTCTCCAGAGGAGTTTGTCCAGATGGAAACCCAGCAGCCACTAGCAAGAAAGGGGTGCAGGGAGAAGGAAGAAATGTTTCATGAATGTGTTAGTTTTATAAATCGACCATAAAATTGAAAATATTTTTGGTAATACACCAAAAAATTTGAATGTTATTATTTTTTTTAATGCTTGCCATGATTAAAAAAAACCTACAGGCACTTCATCCTACTCTCTCTTCACCAATAAGAAACATTGGCTTTACCCTTAAAAACAGATGTCCAGCAAGGTAAGTGCATCTTGTGAAAAGATCTTTAATATGCCTTGATGTTTTCCAGAACAGCCTAGATAAAAGCTCAATACCTATTGCTTCCAGCAGATTGAGCATTCAAGAAGCTCAGATATGAAGCAATATATACATTTTTAATTTTCTCCAATTCTTTTAAGTAGTATCTTGATTTAAATAATGTTGTTTAATGGTTAAATCACAATATAGCAAAAATTGCTTTCACCAAGTTCTATTTAAGATTGTGTTTATGATGGTTAAGTACAAAACCCAAAGGTAACTTTGGAAATGGAAAAAATAATGGCTTTGTCAGAGATTGCCTTTCTCTCTGACATATAAATGCATTTAATACATATTTTTCCCCTGCACAACAATGAAACAAGAACAAAAAAACTCACATGTATCTCAGCATTAAACACCTGATCTAACTTCAAAGTCAGCCCCTGCTTTGAGCAGGGGGTTGGGCCAGATCACATCCAGGGCTCCCTTCCAACCTGAGTGATTCTTTGATTCTCCTTCTTGCTTCCTGCACATTCAGGACTTGTCCCTCATGTGTGATGAGTGGAGAAGAGCTGATTTTGGATGTGAAAGTCCTGAACCTGCTCAGCAGGCACAATCCCTGGCTCTGCTCACAGCTGCCTTGAAGCCAGCCTGTAGGATGTGCTGCTTTTGGCTGGGATAGTTATCCTCATTGTACCTGGAGTGTTTTGGATTTGTGCAGGAAACAGCCTTGGCTCTGCAGGGATGTGCAGAGCAGTGCCAGCACAGAGTCAAGGCTTTTTCTTGGTGAGTGGGCTGGAAGTGCACAAAAAGGCAGCTCTTATCTGAAACCACAAATTTTCTCACTTTTACTCTTCCAATTCTCTTTTTCCCTCCATCCTGGAAGTGGCTGTATGAGCAGGTGTGTGGCACACAGCTGCTGCCTTGACACAGGATTACACTTAAAAGCCAAACATGATAGGAAAAATAAACCTTTATTGGAACTCACATCATCATCATCAACATCTACTTAGTATATACTGATACTTGTCCAGCACTCTATCTCAATTTCTTCTGTCCAGGTGAAAAAAACACTGATATATTTTAAAGGCCTCTTTGAGGAGCTTCCAGCAAAAAGACTTGGCATTCCTGATAGACTTGAAGTTGGAAGACAACAAAAGATTATACCAGAAGAAAATTCTCTTTCCATTCCCTTCCTTCCCCCTTTTACCTTTTTACATTACCCCCTGACACAAAAGCAAGTCCAAACTTCTGGATTTCTCTATGTATTTTATAAGATCAAACTATTTAATGGGATATTTTTGAATAAAGCTCACCTGAAGCCACTGGTATGTTACAACCAGCAGCCTTGAGAGTGTTCACAGCATCAGAGACTCTCGCAGGGTACACACAAACTGCTCCAACAGTGATACCTGCAAAAGCAAAAGCCACAGTTCCCTTTTTCATACAGACAATTCCACCATGTGCATTGTCCTCAGCTCCCACTCCTGCGTTCTCACAAGGATCTTAAGCAGCACACCAGGGATGTGTGTTATACTGCTCAAATGGTCCAGGTAATTCTCGTGCTGTTTCCTCTCTCACCTTCCTTCACCTGACCCTGGGAGCAAGTCTGCATTAGCAGGAGTTAAAACTCCAAGATTTTTATTGACAGACTCACAGTTTAATGCCAACACACACAGTTAAGACTTGATCACAGTTATGCTTGATCAGCAAATTGCTGCAAGAGAAGCTGCACTGCCAAGCTCTGTTCTTACTTGTGGAGCCAGACTGAGCCCAGCAGCAACTGAGCAGTCTTTATGTTAATGCAGCCCTCCTGCATTTCCAGCTAAAATGCTCTTTAAATCTCAGATAATTGACCTCAAATTTTATACTTCAACGTCCGAAGAGTCCATAAATCCAAGTTTTAAAAAAGTACTAATCTTTGATATTTTATGTGTATGGCTTCAATCCAAGGCCTGATTCCCTTTTGGTCCACACCACTTCAAGCAGTGAAAAATGAGAAAATAACGAGGAAACACAGCCATTTCCTCTAGCAAATACACACCCCAAAAGTGACCATACCTTTATCATGCATGTCCAAGGCTTTGAGCAGATCCTCTCTGATAGGGTGCTTTGCTTTAAAACACAGCCTTTGAACATTGGAAGGAGTATCATCACCCGAGAGAGTGGTGAGGTCTAAGCAGGTGACAGCTTTCAGCAGCCAAGCTGCCTGCAAAGGGAACAAAGCAAGGAATGGAGCATTTCTGTTTGCAATGCCAAAGCCAAACTGCCTTAGAAGTGCAGGAATCAGAAGCCTGGCTCCCACTCTGACAATGGGGAAATGTATAGGATGTAACACATAAGCAAATAATGGCTTAGGATAGGCTGGCAGATATTTGTCTTCAGCAGTATCTAATGGTACAGAGGATATCTCCTCAAAAGGATCCACTTCTTTTTGTGTGAATCAGGAACAAAAAACCATTAAAAAAATCTGTAATTTTGGTGCACAACACACCCCCAAAAGCAAGAGGTAAGTGACAAGGTTAAAGCAGTCTTTAGATGGAAATGCTTCAGAATTTTAGAATACTTATTCATCAAAGAATGGAACAGAAGCATAACAAAAAATTTTATGAGCTTTTTTTTTGCTGAACAGAAGTTGAGCTTAAGACATTATTTTGAATTATCTGTTGAAGGTCCCCCAGAAAATGCTCATTTACAGTGATGACTTCACTCAAAGCTGACTTCTCTTCCAGGGCACCTGTACAGGGTGAGAGTTTGCAATGGCAATGGGGTAGTGAACCATCACTGGCCTCTGTTAGTCTAAGACTGACTGATTGTTTCTGCTTCCTTCTTTCATCCTATAATTATTTGAAAGGGATTTTCCCTAGAAATAGTTTTATGTTACTTTTACTTGGATTTTTTTATCCTCTGTTTGAGGGAATTTTTGTCTCCTCTCCAATGACATGAATCACAGTCATCAAAGACAGATGTAGTCAGGGGGTTTGAAGAAGTGGTGCAAACCTCAGGGTTTTTAAAAGGGTTTTCTAATTGGGTATTTTGGGAAACAGGCTACAGAATTTGAATCTGTGATGCTTCTTACATTTAATCATGCACAGGTTCAAAATCACCTCTGTTAAGAAAAGAGCAAATGACTGCCCTGCTGTGACAGCATTCAAATAGAGAGATGCTTCTGACACCCTTCAAAGTAAAACCTTGCTTGGGTTTCTGTGTTTCTGGGTTTCTTTCTCTGGTTTTCTTTCCTGTGTTTCTACACAGGAAAAGGGAGAAGTGTTAGGAATAAACATCTGTTCTCAAGTGATATTGTAGGAGTGACACTAAATCCCTTTATTCCCAATGAGTCTCTGTAATCAAAGCCTGTAGTTGTCTGTATTTGTTATTTACAGTACCTTCAGTCAAAAGAAAACTTCTTTTTAAATTACAGGACTTGTAGTATCTGAGGATAGCCCTGGTTATCCATCTGGAGCTTCTCACTGATTCTATTTCCCAACTGGGCTGATAAACTTGGTATAAAGTAACTTTTTATGCATAACTCTGTCCAGCCTCTGGGCAGCCTTCTCAAGGCATCATAAGAAACTCTAAAGAAATGCTGAGCTCATGTCTAAATCTCCTCCATTTATCTCCATTTTTAAAAATTTAATCATAACACGCAAAGCACAAACTTTCAGGAAGGAAAAGCAGGCAGGAAACTTTTTTCTATCACCTTCCAGAAGCACCTTACACCTACATCAAATTATCCCCAAGCTGTAATCCCAAAATCTGTGCTCATTGTGAACACAGCTTCAGCCACCCCAGAATGGCTGCATGATGTCAACTATTTTTGAACAACATTTTAAAGAATTGAGTATAATTAAATGATTCTTGCTTTGTTCTGTTACATTCCACTCTTAAGATTGATCCTTCATCATCTGCTTCCAGGGTTTCAGCTGCTGCTGCACATAAACAAGTTGTTCAGTGTGCAGAGAGGAGGCATCCCAAGCATTGTTTGCAGAACAGCTGCTTGGTGAATGGAGAAAAAGTTTGTCTTTTTATGCTAAGATGGACAATAACCAGCCATTTACCTTATCTCAGCAGCTGAAAAGTCAGTTTTCCTGACATTAGTGGGCTCCTTCCCCCCACCAAATGCCACAGCCAGTCAGGATTTTTGAATTTTAGCTTAAAAAACTAGTTAAGCAATGAAATCACACACATTGAGAATGTTTAAGCAAAGAAAAATCATACAGGTAGGTCAAATTTGACAGGGACCATGATCATATCTTACAGGTTTAAAATTAAAAAATAAGAAGGCAGCATGCAGAGAAGTCTGTCTGGAAACAGAATAAATGTGGAGGGATAGTAATACACAATTTAATCCACTCATGAATAAAGATGACTTAAATCCATTTGCAGTTTTGCCAGTCATGAGTTATAACGTTTTTAACTTGTTTGGATAAATGCATCACCTTATTCCATCCCATCATCATCAAATACAAATTACTAAAATAAGACATGGACAAGCACATCTTTTAAGTTTACATGTATCTTGAAAAAAATTCAATATTACAGTCTGGAGAGGGAGAGTGACTGCTTTAAAAATACAGGAACAGAATGCATAAGAAGAGCACTTACTTGCCAATTACCTTTCAGAGTTCTCCATTTTTTAATTTCTTCTGCATGCCTCACCACTGCAGGTCGATTCACATACACTTTTGAGAGCCAGCCAAGTTCTGGGGGAAAAAAAAAAAGAAAAAAAAAGCCTCATCTATTTCTGTGTTCTTTTAATTTATGGTGTGGTACTTTAGAAGGAAGCTGTAGGAAGTTTGGAACCTCTGAAGAGAGTCTTGTGCTCTCATGTCCTTCTAATGGCTTGTGTACTTATCACCAGTCCAAAATAACCTCAGCTTCTGTTAGAAAGTGATCTGTGAACTGGGTATTTCATACAGCATGATTCGTGTGACATTACAAGAGAATTAACTGAGTGCTGATGAGACAGAGACACTGTCTTGTAAACTTAAATGTAAGTTTATAATACATGTAGCATGAAAAAACAAAATAACCCCTACAAAACAGCCCTCTGCCATTGCTTGATGGCTTATTTCTAGATTCCAGAATTCCCAAAGAGCTGCAGATGCACAGCATGTACTAAAATAATGAAACTGTCTAGAGCCAGAAGAACCAAATATTGGCCACTGCCTAACAAAGGGTAACTGACTGAAAAAGGAGAACTGAGAGTTCAGGCTCTTGAATCTTTAAATTTCTGCTTAGTATGGTAAATCCAGAGTGCAATTTTTAATATTATCAAACATAGACTGCTCATGAGGGTACACAGGAGAAAGAAACTGGAGTATCTTTAAAGTCTCTCACATCCCAAAACATAAATAATTCTTCTAAATACCGTACAAGCATTCCATGAAAACACTGTGAAAATAACATCAACAATCATTAACCACCAATCATCAGCAAATCACCACCATCAATCATCAAATATCACCCCCAGTTAAGGTCAGAATATGGACATGGGCAAAGACAGGTACTAGGAGATAATAATTCTGGGGGACTGAATTTATTAAGAGCATGTCACTCTATGAATCTTCTTTACTACAGTGTTAAATTGCATTTCCCTTGAGCATATTGATTAAAAAAAAAAGGTTTAAAACTTAAAAAAAAAAATCTGGTAGACAAAATCACTAATTTTGTACAGAAATATTTTTTTTCTTCCTACTGAATAGCTTTAATAGCCAAAAAAATGTAGAAAACTAATATACTAGCCAAAGTATGTGTAAATAAAATCTTGTTTTCCTAGGCTTACAAAAACCAATTTAGGGTAAAGATGACTCAGAGGAAATGCAGGATGACATGAAACAGCTGAAGAAAATCTTGTTTTGAGCATAAGTAAGCTACCACTGTCCTATTACCATATACAAGCTATAAGTGAGTGGTACCCACAAAGTGTTAGCTAAAAGCAGAATAAATAAATCAGTGAAGGAATTTCAAAGGGATCCTAAGGAATTTATGGATTTTTTTTTTTTTAAAGATTGGATTTATGTATTTTTTAAATTTCTTTTAGTATCAGACTCGCTGCATGGCAGCAAGGAAAAGGGGGAGCTTGGAAAGTTGCAAGCAAGTCAAACAACAAACCCTTGTCATTCTTTCCAATTTCAAAGCCACAGGTTTATCCATTCTGCCCCCAAAGCAAGGAGCTCAGCTCAGCTGACTTGTAGAAAGCAGGTGAGAAAAAATTGCTAAAAAATCCATGGCTACAACTTTCCTCCTTTTTTGCCTATCAGGATATATTTGACAAAGTCCATGGGGGAGGAAATCACACATAAATCAATATCTAGAGGAGGGACACACAAACCCTATGTTATGATTCTTCTGTTACCTGGGCCAGGTGCTGAGGTAGCATCATTTAATCATAATCCCATTTATTATAATAACTTTTGAACCCTCCTGGGTGCACAGTGACCTTTCAGCCCCTTTGGAAAATGTGATAAAACCAAAGGAAACAGTCTAGATGAGGAACTCAGCTTCTCTCTCTAATAAGGATCCTTTCAGCTGGTCTGTTCTAACCTATCCTTTCTATACATTTGAAGACAACCAAGAAAACCAATTAGTAAATTATTTATAAAAACAATTCTCTGGGAGAGGAAGACAGTGAAGAAGTGAAGACAGTGTCCAGTCTGTTAGGGAAAATTTGAGATGAAAATTTAAATGGAAGGACACAAATTTCACCCATGAGTAGGTTAATTCTTCATTAGTCATTGTTTGTAGAGGATTCAGTCTGATAAAGCTGTTGTATCCACCCAAGCTGACTCTTGAGCATCCTGAATCAGGTCTAAGCAATCTTTTTAAGATGTTAGAGCCCTGCACACTAGATCAGCTTAAAGGGAATAATCAACTATAAATCCATTTGGAGGGAAAAAAAAAAGAAAAGAAAAAAGCCAATTCATAATGGGACAAAAAGTGTGGAAGGAGAGTGGAAGTGGAAATAAGCTACTACTCTTGCTTTGCCCAAAGTCACCTGTGAAAGTCACCAAATATCAGCTGATCAGCAATAGCTGACTGCATGCTCTTTGTAAACAGGATAAAATCCTTTGGTTTGAGCCCTTTTCACTGTCTGGCACATTTTCCCCTCTGTTCTCAGTGACCCAAGGCTAGTCACAAAGGTAGCTGGCACATGGCAACTCAGTAATGTCTAATATCTAATTTTTGTGCATGGGATGCAAGAGTCCCTAAAAGACCACAGAAAGTGGATCTCCAAGTATTTCTTTTGAGTGTGGGAACTCAAACCACAGTGCACAGCACAGGCAAAAAATTAAAAATAATTTTAAAAAAAGAATAATTTAACAAAAAATCAGAACTCCATCCTTTCTGTACAACTTAATGTGAGACATCATGCAGCTTTTACTACAGGAAATGAAATGGTGCAATAAAAATGGCACGGCAAGGAAGGACAAAGGTTCTGGAAATATGCAGCAGCAGATGGAGACTTCCATATAACACAGACCTTTTATTCAAGCCCATTCCTACATTAATTAAAGCAATGGGTAAGTGAAAACAAATATGTCTCAGCATAGTTGTCTCTAAATAGACTTTCAAAGTTTGCCATGTGAGGTCTCATCAAATCTTTAGATCTAAGTGCCTTTATTCAGAAAAATCCCTCACAATTCCAGCTTTTCTCTTTTTTTTCATTAAATATCAGAATAAAACCATGTTTTGAAATAGAACTGACTGCCTTTGGATTCTCCCCCTCCCTCATTCCCCCAAGCTTTATGATTTAGTATCTGGCTAAGGAAAACTATATTTAATTAGGCTCATTAACCTTGCAGTGTGAACATGTCTTTTTTTTTTTTAAATAAGTCATCTGCTAGTCATCTGCACAGTCATGTGGCTTCAGGGATAAAAGTAATTAAAGCAGTTACACTACAGCTAATTAGCCAATATTCTGTAATCACTCTTCTAGTTTACTTTTTTTCTCTGAAGACATCTGAAAAAAATCATATTCAATTCCTTAACAGGAAATTCATCTCCTCTCTTTGAAGAACACGAATCCAAAAATACCGAGCATTTCCTCAGAAAACAATAAATAAAACTACTTCATTAGGATAATTACATAAATATCTAAGCTTCCTAACACATTCCTCATAAAACAGACCAAGCTTTACAGAAGCTTTTAAAAAAATGTGTTGATGGCATCCCTTCAGATGGCGAAACAGAAAGCTCAAGAACGCCTGAGGCGTTCGTTTCACAAGCATTTTGAGGCAGCACTGTTCCCAAAAGGAGCTGCCCCCCTCAACTGGTTATTTCATTTTGTGTGCCAGAGACAGCATGTGTGCTCCTGCTCTTACCATGAGCGCACGATAAAATGGGAAGGGAAGTGATGAAAGCTGTTATTTCGGGAGAAGAGACCCAAACTGTGTGCTGAACCTTCCGTGGAGCTCAGCTGGCCACAGGCTGACCCCAGCTGGCCACACAGAGCTGAGCAAAGCCACTGAAAGGAGAGAAAAGGCTTTGGGATCAGGTCTTGTTACAGCTGTCTTACCGTGTGAGCTGTTTAGAGATTTGGGGTTACTCAGCTTTGTCAAGACAAAAGCCATAATTATTTTTTCCAGAGTGACACTTGATATGGACCAAGAGATCCTTAATTTCATGTCGGTCTTCCTTTACATGACAGAAGCTCAGTCTCCAAGCCATCAGCATCCAGATACTCAAAGCAGGACACCAAAGCTTGAGCCCTGAGCTAGAAATCAGCTCTGCTGTCTTGTGCCATCAGTGAAATCACACAGTGCTGTCCATGGATGACACAAAATGGATCATGGTGTCCTCCTCCAAAGCATTTTGGAAACCAGAGAAGCCTTTCCTCAGGAAGAGTGATGCAGAACATCAGGACCTGGTTTCCTGCAGGCCCAAGTCCCCTGTTGTTCCCTCTCTTCTTGAGACACCTCCTCACCCCAAAAACCCTCATGTGGTCCTTCCAACCAGGAAACCAGGAGTAAAACAGGACTCTGTTTCTGCCATAAAGGCCAAAATAAAACAGTTGCAATGAAAATTCATGTAATTTGCCGATCTGTGCCTGCCTTTCCCTCAACAAAAGAACTGATCTGGTCACTCCACCCAGCGCCTAGCTTATTTGCAAGACAATCTACTTGTCCTTCAAATTTGATTAAAATTACCCACCAGATTCAAAAGGTGTTAGAACAGTGAAGAACCAGAGCCACAGTACAGGCTAAAACCAGCTCTTAATATATTAGAACAGAATTATGCTGTTTTGAAAAGGGATGTAACACTTCATTATCTAAATGCCACTTACCAACAGGCTAGCTCTCACATGTAGACAGCTCAGAAATACCAACTATAATTAAAAATATATAAATTGAAACATAATGAATGTATTTTTGGCCCTTCAGCTAGAAGGTCTGAGCAGCACAAATAGATAATGGGGTTTTTTAAGAATCCAAGAACATTGCAAAACAACTGTAATTAATTACTCATTGCTCAGAATACATACATATATGTGTGTGTGTGCATATATATATATATATATTTAAGACATATATAGACACACAGAAGTAATAAAACATATAATTGTAGAATAATTTGGAAGACCTTCAAAGATCATTTGACCAACCCCCTGTGCAATGCAGCACCAGCTCTGAGGTCAGACCAGGCTGCTGAGAGCTTTATTCAGGTGGGTTTTGAGAATCCCCAGGGATGGAGATTG